GAGATTATCCATTTTCCAGTTGAGAAAGCCAAGGTCAAAAATACGAGTCTGTAGTTCAAAACAACCAAAATAAATTCCTTATCTTACTATGTAAATCCTGGTTTTAAAAATCAAGTCTCAATTATCCAAACAGATGGCAAAGGACTATTGCCAGGTAATTCAAAGCTATGATTAATCTAGAAATGTTTATTTTAACTTTGCAAATATCTGTTTGAACATGGATAATTCTAATGTCCTGGGAATTCACAATGTGAACTGAATACAGAAGACCCAATTCAGTAGAAATTGGGAAACACAACAATAGGTGCAAAGTTGGTAATCATTGAGTGATACTGGTTGACAGAAAAACAGTTTGGATTCCCCACACTGCCTCGCAGCCTCCTCCTCTACTTCCCAGGCCATAGAAGGATAGACAGCATTACCAGTCAGGGGAGGACAAAACAACAGCCTCAACAGAATCGTTGTCTTCACCTCTGCTTGCTGATGCATTTTTCTCAGTGGCAATGGGAATCATTCATTTCCTGGAGTTTAAAGATTTGTCTTTGTAGCAGCCCTATGTTTCATGCTGCATATACAGCAAACATAACCCAAGTAGTAAAGAGATCAACCAAGAGGATAAAGCAAGCCAGGTATAAAATCATGGTAAAATGTGCACCTGTTAAAGACAAGACAGTTATTAAACTCGTAGATATGAGTCTTCACATCACAAGATGAATCATTGGTCTGAAATCTTCAGTACACATTGAAAACTAACAAGCATCCTAGAAGCAAGCCAAGTTTCACACGGTAACAATAATTGCAAGATAAACTAACGAGCCCTTCATTTTTCCAAAACGTTATTCCAAGCACATTATGTGTATAAACTCATTTGATCTCAGTAAGTGATGAATAGTGTGGACTCTGACTCCAGCTTGCTAACATTCAGACTCTGATTTCTTCATTTATTATTAGTACTAAGACTTCAGACAAATTGCTCAGATACTTTCTGCCTGCTTGTCTAATTTGAAAAAGGGAGCTAATAATAGTACACATTTTCTAGTTGATATTGTTAATCTTGATGTTGTCAAAGTTTAATAAGTGGAGCATAGTATGAACAACATGGGGTTTGGGGTGTCAACCCCCATGTAGCTAAAAATTTTTTGACTCCCCAGAATTTAACTACTAATAGCCTACTGTTGACTAGAAGCCTTAATGACATAAAAAGTCCATTAGCATATATGTTTTATGTATTATTTACTGTATTATTACAATAAAGTAAGTTGGAGAAAAGAAAATGTGATTAAGAAAAATCATAAGGAAGAGAAAATACATTGATAATACTCTTGTATTTATTGATATCATCAGTTTATATCATTTGTTTACAAGATGAATCATCAGTCTGAAATCTTCAGTACACATTAAGCAATTCAAATTGTTTTTGACATGTCCTGACTTTTTTTTTTTGCTTCTTGGGAGCACTGCTGGCATCATTAGTGGCACTTTGTATGGGTGCCATGATGTTATTCAAGGTTTATAGTATTGTGCTAAACACAATTTTTAAAAAATGTGAAAACTGCAAGAGATCACTTTTTACTGCACTATGCAATTTACTGGAGAGATGGTGAGGATGATTAGCATCACAGAGCATTTGAAGCGGACACTCACAACCCTTGAGTTCCCCGTAATAACAGGAGGTGGCTATGAATTTATTAGAGCAGTACAGTATGGACTGCAGTTAACTTTATACAATTATGATTTAATACTGCATCTTTACATTTCTCTTAAATGCAAATAGTACCATGCATGGTCTATGTTTGTTTAAGTCTTATAAATTTTAATTTTTCATAATAGATTTTTATGTATTTTATGGTAGTAAATAATAGAATAGACTAGTATCTACATATATTTTATGCATTCATGACATGCCTTATTTTTTCTTAATTTTCTTAATATTTCTAGTTACACATTCATCTGCAAGCTTGTCTTACTTGTCACAAATCTCCAAAGTATTTTCCAATAAATTTATTGAAAAAAATCCCAGTCAGGCACAATGGCTCATGCTTGTGATCGCAGCATTTTGAGAGGCTGAGGAGGAAGAATTACTTGAGCCCAGGAGTTTGAGACCAACATGGGCAACGTAGTGAAACCTCATCTATCCAACAAATAGAAAAGTTAGCCAAGCATAGTGGCACATGCCTGTGGTCTTAGGTATTCAGGAGGCTGAGACAGGAGGATTACTTGAGCCCAGGCAATCAATCAAGGCTGCAGTGAGCCCTGATCACAGCACTGCTCTCCCACCTGGGCATCAGAGCAAGACTCTGTCACAAGAAAGAAAGAAGGAAAGAAGAAAGAAAAGAAAAGAAAAGAAAGAGAAATCCACATAAAAGTGGATTCACACAGTTCAAACCCATGATGTCCAAGGGTCCACTGTACATGCTCATGCTCATTAGCAACATTTTTTATCATTCTCAGGAAGGAGACAGGAAAGCTGAAGATCCAAGATGTAATTTGTTCAAAATGATACTGCTAATAAGTTAGCCATGGTTTGAATCTTACTGTATAAGAAGTGTAATTCAACTTAGTCCAACAGATGTGAATGTCTGCCATAGATGTCACTGAGTGTCATTCCAGGATAGAAAGATAAATCATATATAAACCTATGTTCTCTGATAGGGAAAATTATTAAAAATGAAAATTAAGCTTCTCCGGTCATGTTCAAGTACAGCCATAGCCATCGTTCTGGGAAGACAAAAGAAAGAATGGCCAACGCTGACCAAGGAGGTCTTAAGTGGTTTCACCCAAGAGGAAGAATTGAAGCTGGACCCAGAAGGGTGAATGGATTTGTAAGCGGTAACCTGAGTTCTGTTTCTTTTCCTTTTTTTCTAGGCTGATTCCAACAAAACCAGAATTGATGAGGCCAACCAACGTGCAACAAAGATGCTGGGAAGTGGTTAAATGTGCCCACCTGTGTTCTCTTCCGAATGCTGTCGGGCAAGATAGCTCCTTCATGCTTTTCTCATGGTGTTACCTAGTAGGTCTGCACACATAACACACATCAGTCCACCCCCATTGTGAATGTTGTCCTGTGCCATCTGTCAGCTTCCCAACAATACTTTGTGTCTTTTGTTTTCTCTGGGTCTCTTTCTTTCCAAAGGTTGTATATAGTGGTCATTGGGTGGCTCTAACTCCTTTCATAAGATGTCTCGAGTTTCATTTTTCCTTTTCTCTCCTCAGTGGCATTTGCTGAATAACAACAATTTAGGAATGCTCAATGTGCTGTTGATTCTTTCAATACACAGTATTGTTCTTGTAAAACTGTGACATTCCACAGAGCTACTGCCACGGTCCTTTCTTTGAGTGTCAGGCTCTGAATCTCTCAAAATGTGCTGTCTTTGGTTCCTCATGGCTGTTACCTGTCTTTATGATTTCATGATTAGACAATGTGGAATTACATAACAGGCATTGCACTAAAAGTGATGTGATTTATGCATTTATGCATGAGAACTAAATAGATTTTTAGATTCCTACTTAAACAAAAACTTTCCATGACAGTAGCATACTGATGAGACAACACACACACACACATCAAACAACAGCAACAACAACAGAACAACAAAGCATGCTCAGTATTGAGACACTGTCAAGATTAAGTTATACCAGCAAAAGTGCAGTAGTGTCACTTTTTTTCCTGTCAATATATAGAGACTTCTAAATCATAATCATCCTTTTTTTAAAAAAGAATTTTAAACAAGTTGGATTTGACACACTCACCATTTAATCATTTCCAGCAAAATATATGTTTGGCTGAAATTATGTCACATGGATGTAATATAGGGTTTGTTTGCTGCTTTTGATGGCTACATTTTGGAGAAAGCAATCTTGCCGTGAAACAGTGTGGATGTAAATTTTATAAGGCTGACTCTTACTAACCACCATTTCCCCTGTGGTTTGTTATCAGTACAATTCTTTGTTGCTTAATCTAGAGCTATGCACACCAAATTGCTGAGATGTTTAGTAGCTGATAAAGAAACCTTTTAAAAAATAATATAAATGAATGAAATATAGATAAACTGTGAGATAAATATCATTATAGCATGTAATATTAAATTCCTCCTGTCTCCTCTGTCAGTTTGTGAAGTGATTGACATTTTGTAGCTAGTTTAAAATTATTAAAAATTATAGACCCCAGATGATCTGCTTTAATTTCTTCATGGACCCGTCTGATTTTTGCACTCACACAAGAAGAGGAAGCCTGGCTACCCTATCACAGCTACTAAAATTCAGTTCTGTGTGCCGAGGACAGCGTAGGGGAAAATAGAAGGTTTAGGCATGATTCCAGTGGCAACTGACTTGGCTTGATTCTCATAACCTGTTCTAGAATTACCTTGTGAGTTCAGTGTTGGCTAAGGGAGAAAATGTAGTTATCCAGAAGACACAGAAAAAAAAAATTCATAGGAAAAGAATCTATGATATCCAGTCATGGCCCTACATAGATCCAGGTATATCCGGTGCCTGTCAACTCCAGTATTCTTTCCTTTTTACAGAATCTCCACCATCTAAAATTGAGGGCTTCACTATTGCATCACCACTGACTCCATGTTTTTTTAAATAGCTTTACTGACTCACTGTAAAAATTCACCCATTTAAATATATAATTAAATTTTGTCGTATATTCACAAAGATGTGCAATCCAATTTTAGAACATCTTTATCACTGTCACCAAAATACCCCATATCTATTATCAGTCACTCCCATCTCACTGCTCCCAGCCCTAGGGAACTACTGGTTTACTAGTTATCTCTATAGATTCGCCTTTACATTTCATATAAATGGCATCATACAACGTGTGGTCTTCAGGGACTGGTTTCTTTCACTTAGTATGTTTCCAAGGTTCCTCCATGTCATATCAGGATCAGTACTTCATTCTTTTTTTATGGCCAAATAATATTCCACTGTATGCATAGATCCCATTTTGTTTATCCATTTATCAGGTTGCGAATATCTGCATTGTTTCTGCTTTTTTACTATTATGAATAATGCTGCTATGAACATTTTTGTAAAAGTTTTTGTGTAGATGTAAGATTTTTATTCTTTCCCCATGGTTTTACCAATATCATTGCCTGTCCCACCACAACCGCCACTAATACGTCTACCACCATCACCACCCCTACTCCTGCTAACACCACCACTGCCTCAATTACCGCTACCTTACCTTTTCCACTGGCTCTACCACCTCTATATCATCTTAACTAGCATTCCCATCACCTCTACCCTTATTACCACTGCCATTATAATCACCATCATCGCCTCCATCGCCACCGTCACTGCCACTGCCACCATCACCACCACCACCTGTACTACCACCATCTCCTCTGCCAGCATTGTCATCACCGCTTCCGTCACCTCTGCCACCTCCTCCACCTCTCCCTACATTCCCATAGTAGCCATGCAGATTGCCTTGGTTGGCTGTCAGATAATTCTATCCATAAAAGCATCTCTGGAGGTTTGGCGAGAGCAATTAAGGAGCAAGAACAATGATGGCAGTAAAGGTGTGCAGTTCTTTAACCTTTTCCCAAGCCTGAGAACAGGCTCTATAAGTAGCCAGAGGCTCTTAGAAGTTATTCTAAGGACCAATAGTAATAACAAACTATTCCTTAAAATTAAGGTAGTAGAAAGGATGCTAGAAGATGGGAAAAGTGAATAAATTTACTGCCTATGTCAAAGCTGCCAAGGGGTCAAATATGGGCCACATTTGAAAATTCTGTTCCAAACTCCATCTGTTCTTAACCAGATGAGTGAGTGTGTTTCCGCATCATTTGAGTAATTAAAACCTCTCACTAGATACATGAAGAGTAAGATACAGGTATTTTGCTTTAAGGCCTGTCACATGATCCTTTCTGAAGCATATTTCTTTTGATGATTGAGTTTATCCAGCCATGGCTTTTATGCTGTCATCTCTTTTAGGCTAAAGGGAGACATATGCCCCAGGGATGAATCAGCTCTGGGTAATGTGGCAACTCAGAAAGTACATTTGAAATAAAATGATTAGGGCAATGTGGAACACTGTGAAAGCTCAATCTTCTACCTCCCTCATACATGGCACTGACAGAGGACCCTTCTGCAAAAGACCAGAAGGTGAAGGGTGGCCCCAGATTGCAGTAACAGAGTCCCTTTTCTCTTGTTAGACTCTCATTTCTGTTTTTACCCTCCTTCCACATCCTCCTCCAGCCTCTGCTTTCACCAACTTTCCCCAATCTCTGTGTCACTAATTCACTAATAAATTGATGATTGCACTGAAAATGAAGAGAAGAGAAAGGAAAGAAAATCCGTATTTTGTGATCATCTATCTAGTACATGCCAGGCACTGTCCTAAGTGCTTCATTTATGTTGACTCATTAAACTCTTCTAAAAAAAAAAAAAAAAAACCCAGCAGTTTGGCAAAACGGGCATTATTAGCCCCATTTTGCAGATGAAGAAATTGGTAGTTTATTTGAACAAGCTCTCTCAGCTAGTAAGTGATGTGGGTGTGATTTAAACCAGATGTGCGTATCTTTGAACTTATAGAGTTATAGAGAAGTTATAAATGGAAGATACATTTCAGGAGTGCACCTCTGTGAGTTCAGCGAACCAAGAAACTCCTGGAGACATTTGGCTCCACAAGGAGAAGCAAAGAAAGATGAACTAGATGTCATAGCAGAAGGTTCTGGTGAACCTACCTTTCATTCACTCATTCATCCAAGAAATATTTATTGAGCTTCCATTATATATCAGGACCCCTTCTGGGTCTTGAGAAAACAGCAGTACGAGAAACAAAAAGCAAACAGACAAAGCAGGGAAAATTCCTTGCATTAACTGAACTTGCACTCAAGCTAGGGGAGAGAGAATGACAATATATAAAGTATGTGGAATGGTAAATGTTGTAGACAAATGCAGCTCGATGACGTGGGTACACCGCATATGAGATAGGAGAGTGTGTCCACTTGTGCTGCTATAACCAAATACCACAGACTGTGTAATTCATAAATAAAAGAAATTTATTTCTCGCAGTTCTAAATACTGGGAAGTCCAAGATCAAGGTACTAGCAAGTTTGGTGTCTGGTAAGGTCTGCTCTTGCGATAACACAGCTTCAAGACCATTCTATTCATGGAGTTTATTGTCTTGAGTTTATGATCCTATCTCCAAAAAGAAATCAGAAAAATTTGGCCCATATCCTTCTAGCAGCCACTGCTGATGCCGTCCCCACATCCTCAGCCCACACCTCTGTTCACAAAAGTCTATTTTCAGTGAAGAACCATGTAATTCTCTCCCATGAGGCAGGGGTAGCCAAAAGGGCTGAAGTTTTAATGGCCCGGCAAGCAGTCTTCAAGAATGGTTAAGGATGGATGGTGGATACCCCAGCCTCTTCGGCCCCAGGTTGGGATAACTCCAAGGTGTGTGTTCTGCATTGTCTCCCAGAGTTCCTCAGCTGAATCAGTCTCTAATTGCTCATGTGATAACTCACCTGATAATTATCAATCACTTTACTGGCTATCTGCTTTTCTCCATCTCTTTCCCACCTTTCCTACTTTTCTTTTCTTTTTTTTTTTTTTTCCTGAAATATCTTCTCAAATAAACTACTTGCACAAAAACCTTGTCTCAGGGTCTGCTCTTCAAAGAGTCCTACGTAAGACAACACCTTCACAAGATTCATTCCAGCTCCCTAAGCATCTCCTCCTAAATACTGCTGTAGGGAAATGTGCTGCCTTCTATCTGCTCCCCAGCATTTTTTGGATCCATCATTTTTTGGATCCATCATTTTTTAGTGAAAAGCACCTCTGCATTCCTTGGTGCTGAGCAAGAAGCTGCATGCAAAGCAATACCAAAACGATTGCCTAAGCCTACTGCCCTTCACCGTGAAATTTAGCCTTTGTCTTCAGGCATCACTATACTCTCCCCAAACAAGGGTTGGAGAAATGAAAGTTTATAGTAAACGGCAATGTGCTGCCTCCCACAGAGTTGCACACTAAAGGGTAGCATGGAGGAGCTCTGGAAAGAGAATTCAACCAGAAGTCTTGATTATGATTTCCCGGAGTTTTAATCTATGAATAAGCAAAATGGGCATCACCATGTTTACCTTACCTTATTCACAGAGTGGTTAAGAATATCAATGGGGTAATGTTCATTAAATTGCCTTGTAAATCTTCCATACCACTAAGATGATGATGAAGGTGAAAGGAAACACAATCAGCACCATCAGGGTCAAAACCAGCCTCTCTTGTTACTTTTAATTAGAAAATTCACTCATCACATGTGTGTGCATAGGGTGTACTCACAGGACTTCACCTTAGGTTTAAGTAAATCAGTTTTCACATCAAATATGTTTCACACATTTGTTGGATCTACCAATAAACTGCCCAAGTATCTCCATGTTCCTAATTGTAGCGGGAGGTGGGGGGGGGGGGTGGGTACTGAATTTCTCACCATTAAAACTCAGCCCCTGACCATTACCCAAAAGTCACCAAGGTCAAGGGCATTAATACTGAAACCAGGCAAAAGATTCAAGGAATATGGCAGAGGCTACGAACTTCTGTTACCAGTTAGTTACTACTATGTAACAAACTGCCCCAAAACATAGTGACTTAAAACAATAAATATTTATTTAGCTTGCAATTGTGCAGTTTGGTATTTGGGGATAAGCTTGACTGGCAGTTCTTCTGGTCTCTGCTGGGCTTCTCAGGTGATTGCGGTCAGCTACAGCCCACTGGGTAGCTCGGTTTCTGGGAGTTGGCCAGCTACTGGCTGAGGCTCTTTCTACATGCAGTTTCTCATTCTCCAGCAGGGATCCAGGGTTTGTCTTCATGGCAAAGTCAGGAATCCAAGGAAGAAATTGGAAGCATGCAAATTATCTTGAGGGCTAAGTTCTTCACCTCTGCTATGTCCTATTGGCCAAACAAGTCACGAGACCCATCCACATCCAAGAAACAGAGAA